TATTATAATAACACGGTCATTTTTGTGTTTCAATATCACTGCTATTCTGAATTTTGGAATATATTTCACATTCAATATCAGAGATTGGAAACAATTGTATGAAAGGAGTATTAGCATATGTTGATTTGAAGAATGTACCAGCATGGATCAGGTTGTATCTCCTTTAGGAAAAATGCTTTAAGGGAGGAAGAAAAAGAATTTTTCTTTAACGTGCATATTTTTAAAATTTAATGCCAGCATAACTAGATATTACACACTATGTAGAGTATAGGTGAGTGTAGCCTTCTACCTCCCTTTAATTTTTTTTGCCAATTAAATGTTTGATGGTGTTTCATAAGAGCATTAGCTTGTATGTTATGAGGGTTTAGTAATATGATTAATATTAGCATTCCTTAAATTATTTGCCAGAATAAGCAAGACCATTATTAATATTTGGTTATACTGAGAGTCCTAGGAAGGACATACATAGCGTTCTTTGACAAAGTCAAGTTCCAGGTATGATATAATGGTTACTTTACTGGAGCTCCCAAAGCTCTGTGCTGTTTGGTGCTGTGTTCTGTAGCTGACTAGTCAGTGAGTGGCGCTGTATGTGCCTCTAGTGAATTTTATCACAGATCTCTGCAAAACTGACAGCAGAGAAGGTCAGACATAGTTTCAGATGTCAAGCTGATGTCTGTTCATTTCTAGTTGTGCATGAGAAGCTTGGAATAAAGTATAATGCCTTCAAACTATAGAAAATAATTCCTTTAATAGAGGATAGATTTTTGTGAGCTTCTTTTAATCACCTCCCTTGCCAGTGTCTGATCATTTATAAGATCAACATAAGAGAAGCAAAGTCTATTAAATTAACTGTTGTCACTCAATTTTTAGAAGTTAATATGTAAAGCTTTATTAATTTAAGATTTGGGATCTTTAAAATTCAGGACAATTTCAATTTTGAGCTCAGGAAGACTTCCCTATTAGGTAACAGAATACTTAGAAGATGCTGTGAAATAACCATAGAAAAATTTGAAGCAGAAAATAATAAATTTTATTATTTTGAAGTAAACTTTAAAGTATATATCCAGCTGGTACTGTAAATGATACAAAAATGTGAACAATCTCAATGCATAACAGTTCCATGGAGGGAAACCCAGCTGGGAAGCTTTAGTTTTTCCTACATTCTTCAGTCAGTCTGGTGGGACAGATTCCCAGGCTGTACCAAAAATAATTGTTGGTGAAATTTTTAAGATAATTTATCTTTTAATACTTGTAATTTCTGTTTAACCTTTTTGGCCTCTAAGGAAATTTGAAAAACATCAAAATATCTTTGCATTTCTTAGACATCATACTGCCCAGAGGAAATCCTTTTTTTTTTATTCTAATTTTTTACTCAATATTTTTTAAAAATCCATCTTAAGTTCGAGTACATTGTTATTGTTTTGTGCTGTGTAAGATCATAAATTTTAATTATATTGTAGCAATTGAAGAAATGATCATTTAAAAAAAAATTTGTTAATGTTGCTTTTAAACTGATAAAGCTACACTTTTCCACCAACACCAGAGATCTGAGAAGGATAAATCAGAGCAGGAAGTATAATGCAGATGGCCTCTGTGTCGCTCACTAAATATTTTAAAGGACATATTCAATTTATCTCTAAGGATTTTGAGGACCATCTATTAAGTATACCTGATTTTAAACAGACTTAATTTCCACCTACTTATTCTCCATATGCAAACATGTTAGAAGACTAAAGCCTGTTTTTGTAATTGAATTGTGCTTGTGCTAAGCTTGACTACAAACATAGTTGAGAGCACATTGAAGAATTGAATCATTTGTAAAGTGACTGACCATTACCTTGTATGGCTTAGTTATCTTTCACAATGTACAAAAAGATAGTAGCTTTTAGAAGATTAGAATTTTATCCAGGACACCCAAGGCTATACAGTGAAACCCTGTCTCAATAAAATAAATAAAATAAAATAAAAAGGAAAGAATTCAGTTTCTGATCTTCATTTGGGCTGGAGAGATGGCTCAGATTAAGGGCATGTTTTGCTCCTCATGAGGTCCTGAGTTCAGTTCCCAGCAACTCACATGGTGGCTCCCAACCATCTATAATAAAATCTGATGTCCTCTTCTGGCCTGGTTGTTAGATTTCTGCTTAAATTAGAAGAAAAAAGAGGCGCAAGATGAGACACGAGACTATAGAGATACATTAACGACAGTTTATTATATCATGGGAGAGCTAGCAAGAGAAATAGAAGAATAGAGCAGGACAGAGAGGAGAGACAGAGTTAATGGCTGACCGCTGTGGTTGGTTGCCAGAGAGAAGAGAACAACGGGAGGAAGTGGGGACTTTTAAAGGGAAGACCGCGCATGCACACTGAGGTTCCGCATGTGCAGAATCCTCAGGCAGATCTGTAATACTTGACAAGTGGTGATGGCAGAGCACTTCCCTGTGTGCGAGCGCACTGACTATTGTCAGGGGGTGGGGTTAGTCTCTCTCTCTCTCTCTTTTTTTTTCCCCACACAAAAAAAACAATTTTATTAACCCAAGAAGTGAAGACCATGTCTCTATGGCTCCCAGCCACCTCGAAAGGATGAGGCCAAGTTCGAGAACTTGGAAATGTTCCCTATCCCTCAGCTTATTAGACTGGAGGAAGAGTTTATGCAGACAGATCACCAGAAGTGCTGGAGTATGGGAAGTTTCAGGCCAGGGAGGGCAGCAGATGAAGGAGAAGGTGTGGGGGTCTGTGGAGGGCCAAGGAAAGACCAGGGGTGCTGGGGCTAGGGACCCAAAAGAGGTGCGAAGAGTAGGGCTAGAGCCCAGGAGTGGGGTCCACTCTGAAGCAGGTTGGTCCCTTGGCTCCCCTTCCCCGTCACCTTCCACTTGCCCTTGAGTTTCTTCCTCCTGCTCCTCATCGGACCCGATGGACAGGCTGTTTGCAGATGGGGCAAGTCTTCCAGGTCTGAGTGAGCCAGGGGTCGACACAGCGGCTGTGATAGGCATGTGCATAAGGAAGTACCTGAAGCTTGTCCCCATCCTCATACTCATTCAGACAAATGGCACAGACATCATATTGATCTCCCTTTTGATACTCATGGGTAAGAATCTGTTTCAGTAGTTCTTTGGTAAGTCGGTTCTGCTGGAGCCGTTTGCGGTGCTGGATACAACGAACTATTCCAGTGCAGCTCCCATGGCCAAAACCGGCAGTCCTACTATGCCAGTGAAAGGAATGAGATAATAGTCCAAGGGGAAGCTATTGTCTGGAACCAGAAGCACTGGGGCCCCCTTCTCATAGACAAAAAGGGCTGGTAGGTACCCTGCACTTCTCTCTCCAATAAACACAGATGGGATCCAGATCTGCTGTTGGATTTCCTCACTTTTCCACACCATGTTCAGAAGCTCATTGGAATGCACATTGTGGACCACAGCTGCACCATACCCAGCTTTCTGAGCATTTGAGACCTTGAGGTCAAAGTTGCAGTCGAATCTTCGAAGCAGTGCAATAAAGACTGGAGCTGAGGGTGGTGGGGCAATGGGACTATAGGTATTTTCTGTGTGGGCCTCCTCAAGGAACCTCTGGAGTACCACCTCGCTCAGGGCAGACCCAAATAGAGTTGGGAGGTCTGCAAAGTCCATGCTGGCATTGTCTCCGAGGTCGCTCAAATAA